CTGATGGATGCTCTGAGTCAGATGCAGAGATAGAGCCAGGGCCATCCGACATTTCCCAGCCACCGGAGAGGCAGCTGCCTTTGAAGGCTGATATGAATGAGGAGGAAGAACAGCTGGGGCCTGTTTGATATGCACATATGCACAGAGCAGTTAGGAGAGGTGAACAATGGAGGACAAGGAGTCAACACGGGAAGCAAAGCACACGTGGATGCTGAATGGCCCCTCTCTGGCTGGGGAATAAATAGAAAGAAAGGAAAGTGATTGTATAGGAGACAACAGTTCATAGTTGTGAAGATTTTGGCTCATTGTTTTCATGCCACAAAGATTGCTGGCCAGAACTTAATTTGGCCAGAATTTAATTTCATCTGGGAGCTCATGACCTTAAAATTATTGCAAGGAACTGATAAGGTCTGTACTGCAGTTAACTCCTTGAAGGACTAATGCCTGAACTTTTTGATGGGTGAATGCAATTAATTCACAAGAGGAAAATAAAGAGGAACTTTTCGTGACAAGAAGTCTGTTTCTTGTTTCTACTAAGGCTGAGTCAGAATAATTTCCATAGATCAGAGTGAAAGGCAAAAATTAAAATTTGCCTATGGTAAGGTTAATTCCTATGGTAGTCTGATGTTAGGGACACATAATGCTGATTAATCTATAGAATAGGAAATAATATAATTATTTCATCATCTGCTTTCTCTTTGGTTAGTAAGTTTTTTCTGTATTATTAAGGCTTGCATGCCATATAATGCTGGACATGTGGTATCTGACAACATAAGTTGTGGAAGCTATGTAATTAATGGGGTGTTATTTTCCAGACACTTTGTGATGATATGGGAACTAAATGTAATTTTGAATGTTTGCCTCCATTCTTGATTTGACTGGCTCCTTTCTAGTTTTTGATCATAAAAGTTCTGAGAATTTTCCCTTCCTAGGCAGGCATTAATACCAAAATTAATGCCTATTACACCATTTTTCTATTGCCCTCTTAAACCTATAATTAGCTCTACTTCTGAGTTTTTAATAGATATTGTGTCCAGTTTAGAAGTCCTAAATAAATGGTGAAAGGAATGCTTTTGCTATGCTGGTTACATTATGGTTTTACATGTAAATAATTCTATGAAACAGCAAAAAAAAAATGCTGTTGCATGTCTGGTGGACCCACATACGGAAAAAAATCAGTGTGTAGATAGATGTATGGTTTGAACGTTTTATATTCTTTTATGTGCTATGTTCTTTAATCTTCATGAATGAACTAATTCCAGACCACTTGGTATAAAACACAGATTCTGCAAAAGCAAATGCCAGCCTTAAGATGGAAAACAGCTTGAAGTAAAGGGAAAGTGTACAAATAATCAGTTAAAAGACAAAGACAAGTGTCTCTGTGTTTACCTAAACAGCCAACAGACAATAGAAGTTATCAGCTTTGGAATTGATAATAAATTATTTAGCAGAACTGTTGTGGGTATGAATGGGAGCTTCCACGTCTGCTCTTCCCTTATAGTAAAAAAGCAAAAATTAAATCACAGAAATTGTTGGATTTCAAAGAAGATAGAAAGGGCCACTAGTGGAGTGTCCTCTATTTCTGACACAGAATTTGTCCTGTTCGTTGCAGCCTAATGCTTGCATGGTGGGAATGAGTGCTGATTAGGCAGAATCTAAGGTTTCCTGTTGAAAACACAGTTTATGACAATAGGTATGTCCAAATTTGGTGTATCTTTACTTTTTCTTCAGGGCAAAGTTAAACTTTTATATTAGTTTAATTTAGCATTGGCAATAAATTCAGTTTAGAATTAAAATCTGAGAAATTAAAATGGAAGGGGCAAATTGAAGTCTTCTAGTTGAGCAAAGCTTCTGGTGAGATTTTTCTTGAGAGAAGTAGTGAAGCTGTTTGTCTATAGTCTAGCCTATAGCCCTGGGAATTTCTGGGGAACCCTTATGGAAACATTAACTAGACTTTACCTTACTTAGCTTCTCCAATAAGTTTTCTAGTGCCATACATGGATATAAAACAAGTACCGTAGTGACAAATTCTGCTTTGTTGAAGGCAATGGCAAGGAGGAAGAGTCCTTTTATCTGATAATGTTCACAAAAATCAAGTGATAATGGCAGGGTTTCTTGTAGGAAGTAGGATTATAGCTTATCTGCTTAGAAATTCAAAATTAATGCATCATCTATAGCTGAGGTTATGCAGTTGGATTGGCAGAAATGAACAAGCCTCCTTCACAATTTCTAAAGTCATTGTGTGCCTTAATCCATATAGCTGCAATTGGAGTTCAATCATCTTCATGCCAATAATGTGTTGGAAGAGCTGTTAAAAAGCTCACTTCTGTCCCAGCATCTCAGACCTAGACCTAAAACAGATTGTTTTTGTGATTTCCAGATCTCCTGGGTGCATGTTCTCCTTCTTCTACAGTTGCAGATGCTGGGCAGTCCCCAGCACTCAGCATTATAAACTGTGGCTAATTTGGATTAGGATGCTAATTAGAAATGAATGGACCCCGTAGAGAGCACTTAGTCAGGGTTAATTAGCGGTTAAGTGGCCAGCCAAGCTCCCTTTGGCTGCTGTGTTTACTTCACTGGCAGGAGTTTCACCAGCCAGCTGAGTTTTCATGAGTTCTTCCAGTGCAAGTGCTCAGCAGAGCTTCACCAGTGGCTACCCTTCAGTTCTAATCAATAAATTACCTTAAGATGGTCCTTCACATCCACCCCAGAGCCAAAGTGAATGAGCATGCACTGTGTGCCCATTTTGTTGAGGTTAAAACTAAGCCCAGTTCTAAATTGAGAGAAATGGATACGGAATAAAATGAAGGGGGCCAAAAACAGGCCAAGAAAGAGGAAAGGTTTACCCATCTGCTTAATATTCCAAAGAAAGGTCTTGACACTCATAGGCACACAATCTAATGCAGGAAAATGTGATATGCATAGAAGCCCAGTTTTCCATCTTTCCATGGGTATTCAGTTTAAATAAAGAGATTCTGCCACCCTCTTCCCCACTTCCTAGATCACAAGCTTCAATGTGTATTAAACTACTTGGGACCAGGAAAAAAAATTACTGACCTCATTTACAATCATGGCACCAGTTTTTTTTTTAAGACTTCGCATTTGTTTTGCTTTGTACATTTTTTATGGCTCTGATCCTTTTATTCAGGGCTGTTCTTTTATTGGATTATCACTCCCTATAATATCAATTTCCATCTCTTTCCATCTACTCCTTATGTTTGAGTATCAAGTTAGATTTTTTCATCCAGTCCTGGATTGATGGAGTATATCGCATGTAAAGAAATTTGCAAACCATTATTTCCCTTTCAGATTACGACGCCTTAGACCATTGGCTTTATTTCTTGAGGTATTTTTGTGCCAACTTCCTGAGAATTATGGAGGTATTATCTGAGAATTCAGAGAGAAAACAATATCATGTATTAAAGCTTTTTTAAACAGAAAAATGCTGAAACAATACTCTTAAAAGTCACTTTTTGGAGCTAGGGGAACCAATCACAGCTCTAAAAGTACATTTTTGTGGTCGTCAGAGAAAGCTTTTCCTGGTTTAGCAGAAAAGTAAGTTTGTAAGGAGTTATTCTCTTTCTTCTGCAGACTTTAATAACGTGGTAGGTTCACAACAGAAAAGAACAGAATGACAGGTTCATACAAAATAAGAAGCCCTTTAGACAGATAAAATCATGAATACAATTGGCTAGCAACATAGGATTTTTTAAAAATTGGATGGCATTATTACATCAATTAACAGCTAATTTGTCACATTTGTAACATTTAACATTCTGGATTGTCTTCAAGAATAACCGCCCATAAAATACATTGCAATAGCATAGATATGATATAAAAGGAGCCTGGGTAATCATTGTGAAATTAAACTGACTTAGCTAGTATGCTAAATGTGGTTATGCAAATGCCTGTAAATCATCATCCCAACCGAGTTCAGAAATTGTCAGTAAAATAATATGATTAATTTACAAATTAATAGTCTATAAAATAGCTAAACAAGGAACTTGAAATAGTAGTTTGGGACTACAGCAAAAGATATATAGGCCAACTTCATTTGTTCCTTCCAGCCATCCCAATTTTCTTCTTCATATCAATGGAGTTTGACATTATCCCAAAGCTGATCACAGTTTTGTTTTCTTTTGATTTTGCTCAGCATGTCGACTTCCCCCTAGTTTTGTGTAAGATTGTCCAGCCCTTTTGAGTCCCTTCTATGATCAATTCCATTCATAAACAACAAGCGGTCAATGAATATTCAAAATTGATTATGTAGCACGAAACATTGAGAAGCTAGATTCCAACATAAGTATGCATGTTTCCCCATAATCTGAGCTGCTAAAAAGCTGGAGTGTTTGTAGGGACATTTTAATATTCTTGGCTATAGCCAAAGCTATTGAAAACAAGTTAGTGAATGAACGTGCCTATATGATCATCCTTACGTCTATAATTAGTTTGATAAGTTCATTTATAGATTCACTATTGGAAGATTTACAGAGGAGCCAAACCCGTGAGGATGCTGGCAACAAGGCGTGTATGCTTATCCTTGCTTTTTTTATTCCTTGTGGGTGAAGACTGAATAGAATATTTTTGTGCGTGGCCAGCAGCAGAGTTTTGAAGTGCTTGGAAAGTCATTGGGGAAATGTTAAAAAATATCACAACAAATCCACATGTTGTCTAGATCCATCCATCAAACAAATATGATCACAGTGTGCTTTGTTAACTCATCTATAAACAGGCAGGACATTTTTCAATGTATAGATTTTTACACTCTCCCATATTTATTTAAAGCTGAAGAAAAAGGCAGGGCTGTTAATTAGTTTTTGTGACTTCTTGCTGGCTTCAGTTTATGGATAGGAGATGCAACTTGTTCCATGAATTAGTGTTATTCTCTCAGTGTAGAAGTATCATTATTACAAGGAAGTTATTTTTTTGTCTCCTGTATACTCCACCAGACAAGATCATGTTGGGATGATCTACTTATTAGGCACCTTACCTGCCTACAGGTAACACCTGCCACTTTGAAGATGAGAAGATCTGTGGTTATATTCAGGACACAACAGACAACTTTGATTGGATTCGTCAAAGCAGTCTAACCCATGATCCGAAGCGCACTGCCAACACAGGCCCCACTATGGATTTCAGTGGGACACCCGAAGGTGAGTAGGCCCCCAGTTCCCCAGTTCAAAGTTATGCCCTTTGCTTTTTCCTATTCCTGTTTTCACTCTGATGTCTAACAAAGGCGAGAGGAATTTCCCATTTCATAAGTACTTATAAAATGGTATTTGTCATAAGGGATGTGGTGGCTCAATGGCTAAGACACTGAGCTTGTTGATTAGAAGATTGGCAGTTTGGTGGTTCAAATCCCTAGCAAGTGTAACAGAGTGAGCTCTTGTTACTTGTCCCAGATTCTGCCAACCTAGCTGTTTGAAAGCATGTAAAAATGCAAGTAGAAAAATAGGGACCACCTTTGGTGGGAAGATTCCGTGCGCCTTTGGCATTTAGTCATGCTGGCCACATGACCACGGAGATGTCTTCGGAGAGCTCTGGCTCTTCAGCTTTGAAATGGACATGAGCACTGCCCCCTAGAGTCAGGAATGACTAGCGCATATGTGCGAGGGCGGCCAATCAACCTTGTCATCAGTCTCATGCAAATGGCCACCTGCCATCTTTCTACTTATTTTGAATCTACAGCTCCAAACTCTGTCTAGCAGATAAAAAATACTGTCTTTTGAATCTTTGCTGGAAACTGGAATAATTTGAGCAATTTTTGTTGGGAATGAAACTTTTCAATTCAATTCTTAGTTTTTCCCATCTCCCACCAGTTTGCCCCTTCCTTCTTCCTACCTGAAATTTTCAATCTTTAGTTTGCAATATTGAGAATTTGCAGAAGATAGAACTGCTGCCTCTGGATTTTTCCAGATCTTTTCTAAGAACAGTTTGTTTACTATGTGATGCCACATGATTTACTATATTATGCTTCATCTTAAGATATGATAACAAAATATATAAATATAATAAAATATATAAAACATAGCTTCGTATACACACTCATGTGCATGCACACGGACTCTCTTGATCAGCATTAGACATGAGGCAGCTAATTTGCATGTTCTTATTCACATTAAATAACCAATTAAAACTCCCACAGCTTTGTTTAGAGGAATCAGGAGAACATTAGTCCTTGTTACTGGCTAATTACTGCTGCCAAATGTCCTTGTTTCATTGATGCATGCACAGAGGAAAGAAGCAAGTGGGAAAACAAGCTTAAACATTCTAAAATGTCTGTCTGACTTCTGGAGCAGAAGTCCAATGAAGCCTCCAGAACCTTTCCAAGCTTTTCCATGCAACATTTCAGAAAAGGGTATGATATATAAGTCATGATGCAAAGTTGATTTTGGAAGCTCAAGGTAGTCAACCTATCCTTTTACCTCATACCCAGAGTCCTATTCTGTCTATGATACATGGTGATTATAATACATATAAGCACTTCTATTCCTCTAATGCAGCTATTAGAATGTAGGGAGACAATCTTTCTATGGAAGCTTGGCTAGTACAAATTAACATACAGTACTGGTTGCAAAGCCATGCTCCCAAGAAACATCTCCAGAACAGCCTGAAAAAATATTGAGATAATTGAGATGAGAGAGGATAGTAGGACTAGAACAAAGAGCTATAGTGTAAAGAATGGGACTAATTTATGGAGGCCCAATTTCAAGTCCATCTTCTCCCATGAAAGCTCACTTGATGATTTGGATCAGTAATTCCACACAAGCCAGCTAGACATCCTGGAGAAAAGGTAGATATAAATAGGTAAATAAGTAAATCAGATAACCTAAGCCCAAGTTCTGTCACTTTCAGAGAGAAGATGAAGCTGTGGCCCAAAATTCTAGTTTAGAATCCCAAAGGGGGCTGAGTAGGCTTTTCTTCATACTACTTTTAATGCTGTTCACATGAAAAAGTACTGTGGCAATGTGTTTACCTTTCCTACTCTTGGTTTCTCACTCTCCAGGGTACTACATGTTCATTGAAGCCTCTGCACCCCGAGTGAAGGATGACAAAGCTAGATTAATCAGCCCTATGTACAACATGACTGCCAGATTCTGTGTCTCCTTCTATTATCACATGTATGGGAAGCACATTGGTAAGTAACCTTGAAGGACTGCTGCTCATTGGGATGGAGAAAAAACACTCTGAGATTTAAAGGGATTGCCTATTCATTGCAAATTACAGGGAAATAATGCTCTCAAGTGTACGATATGCCAGATCTGTTTTACAGGGGTGATTGTCAATTTGGATTGTCGTTTTATTTCTTGGCCCTGGAGTTGTGTTCAGGCAAATAATACTTTGTGTTTTTCTATTGGGAAAGCAACACCAAATTTGAATCCTGAAGAAAACATCTTCATTTCTCTAATGATTTGTGTATGTGTTTCTATCATCTCTTTTTTTTCATTATTTCAAGCTCTAGTGCTGAAATGGTGGAATATGTTGAATGGGAAGACAAATCAAGATAGCCGTGTCAATCTGATACCAAACACAAACAGCTGTATAAATTGCATCCAGTTTCTGGAGTTTTCTTTATTTAGAATAAACTTATCTATGTGATACTGGCCAGATATTGAACTAAAATTCCAGCCACGCCTATTGTGCTGGGTGAGCATTCTGGGGGTTGTGCTACATCGTATGAGATTCAGAAGCAGCATTAGAAGAACATCCTCACTATTTTTTAGATAAATTTATTTCTATACCATAAGTGTTAGAAATTTGATTTTGGTGTTTTTAGACTTACAAAGATTGGCAGAGTTTTTACATGTGTATGATTGTTAGAGGCATGGTTATACCCAACTTAATTTTCTTTATCCTCTGTTTCCCAAAGCTGTGATGCAGCTTCATCATTTTTGCTTTTCTGATTCCAGCTTCTATAAGAATCCTCCTAAGAAGATATTTTCTTAAATTAATTGAGACATTATATTGGATTGGATTGGATTGGATTGGATAGGATTAGGTAGGGTAGGGTAGGGTAGGGTAGGGTAGGGTAGGATAGGATAGGATAGGATAGGATAGGATAGGATAGGATAGGATAGGATAGGATAGGATAGGATAGGATAGGATAGGATAGGATAGGATAGGATAGGATAGGAGGCAGTGATTGTTTATTAGGCTATTTGGGGTTTAGTTTGAAGAGAGTGCAAATATAGAATCCTTGGGCAGGACAATCCAGATAGCAGTAGGGATTTTCTGATAACCACTGTGCTTTAAAGAGAGTAAACAAGACCCAGAAAATAGCAAAAATCATGTGCAAATAAGGATTTGTTTTATGAGCCAAAGTCATTTCAAAGGATCTCTTTCTCCCTCCCTCTTCACCTCCTGTCTCTGATTGTTAAAATGAAGTTGTATGCGGGTAAATGCCACAAAAGTGCCTAATGAGTTTCCATATTCAGTCAAGGAGCAATTGCTAATTTGTCACCTCTTGATTATAATTTCATTAATTTGAATAATAAATGCACTATTTCAAAAGCCACTAAGTTATTAATCACCTGCTGGACTGAGAAATCAGGGCCCAGTAAGTAGTGTGTCTACCTATTGATAACCAAGGTTGATAAACAGAGTTAATGTACATCTTCCTCTATCTAAGCACATGAGATATCACTTAGTAGAAGTTAGTTTTCTGTGCTCCTCCCCTTACAGACAGAAAAAGTGGAATCTCTGTATTAAGACTACAATTCTTTGAAATATGAATACCCACGTCTGCCTCATTGAAAGCTAGCCAGGCATAGCAGGCAGAAGTCTTGTTCCACATTAGTTCATGAATGCTTTTAAGATCTCTGACACAGGCCTGAAGCAGAATTATTTTATTTTCCTCCTGTCTGGTAAATTTGGGACACTTGTTCATTAATTGTTAAATGTTACCATTAAGTAACCGTCTCGCGTTGATCTCAGAAAGAACTTTTATTTCTTGGAAATATGGAGATACCAAGAACAGCTCTTCAAAATTTTCTTTAAACAAGTTTAGGATGTCTTATATATGGGAATATAATTTCTTTAAAAGATGGCAATGCTAGGTAATCTGAAAGCTGTGTGTATGTTTTTTTTTACCCCAGACTTTTGGGGATCTTGAAAAGCACTCTGGGCTACTGCCACTATAATTTGGTGGCGAAATGGCCATTTTTAAATTTTAAGAGCAAAAAATTAGGCGAGGAAGGGAGCACAGGGCTTTTGGGAAGTGAACTGCTTCCATTTCCATCCTGTTCTACAAACCCTCCTAATTATTCAAAAAATAGCCCTTAGCTTTTTAGCTCCTGTAAGGCCAATCAGACAGAAGAGTCATGGCTATTAGTCCAAAAATAAAAATGGATGACCTCTGGATTAGGGGAATATCTTAAGTATCATCACCACTTCCCTGATTCAAGTATTATTTAGAGGTTCTGGTATTGGTGCAATGAAATGGTCATTATTTTGGACTATTTCAGTGTAATAATATATTTAGTTTTGAGTATGATAACTAAAAAAACCAGAAAAACATTTATGTATCTTTTCACCCACCCTATTCCTCATGCACTGTTTTCATCATCTTCCAAACCTCTCTAGAACACGGCTGATTCTTCCACTGAAGCTTTAGACATTTCTACATTTCCCACAAGCAATTCCAAGAATATCTTAAATTTGCACAAGGTGTTGCATTGTTTAGTTATGATGTTTTGAGACATCCCTGAGGGTCTTAAGGATAAATCTTCCTTGAGTCAAGGTTGATATTCTGGTTATTTGGATATTTCAGTGTAGTCTTTGGCAGCCACAGAGAAGCATTTTTGCCATTGCCTTTTCTTAGATGTTTGTTTTTCTACTTCCAAATCTAGCCCACAGTCCAGGGTCTTCTGGTGGCCTTCCATCCAAATGGTTAACTTTTGGGGATCAATCAAGATTGGCTAGGTTTTGCAACCTGCTGTGGCACATACCAAAGGAAGAGGAAATAGCAATAGCAATAGCAGTTAGACTTATATACCGCTTCATAGGGCTTTCAGCCCTCTCTAAGCAGTTTACAGAGTCAGCATATCACCCCCACAATCTGGGTCCTCATTTTACCCACCTCGGAAGGATGGAAGGCTGAGTCAACCCTGAGCCGGTGAGATTTGAATCGCTGAACTGCTGAACTAGCAGTCAGCTGAAGTGGCCTGCAGTACTGCACTCTACCCACTGCGTCACCTTGGAATTCCAATATTTAAACCTGCCTGCTTGCCTTCCCTCTGTTAGTTCTGACATCACTTTTGCTTCTGTTTCTAATTTTTTAAAAACTTTTGAGCACATCTGGACTAAATCTAAGGTATATTTCTTAATAAGACAGAATGCTTCAGTAAACTGAGTGAGTGTCCCAAACAGGTTTGCCGTGATCACTTCTCAGCTTTCCTCTTGTTCAGCAATTGGCTGAGGTGATAAGTGCAAAAGAATTGTTATAGCAGTTTCACCGCTCAAGTGTTGGCTTCACTTATCATGAGATAAACATAATTCCTACTAATTATGAGTATAAAAATCATGCTTCTTATTATCCTGTAACTCTTTGAACTAGTACACGTACATTCTCTGTTTTAAGAGGAAAAAAATACCAGTTCTGAAAATGGGCTAGACACCCCAGTGCTTACTGGATTTTGTTGAGCTACAAATCCCATAAGCACTGATATAATCGAAAACATCTGGAGGTAGCAGTTGCTTACTGCAGCCTAAAAAGACATCTTTCTCATTCATGAAATGTGATTTTGGCTGCAAGTTTGCAACAAAGATAAAATGGAATGGGGCTGGTTTGCTCACTTTTTTTTTAAATTCTTCTGCCAGTGGCTTCACAACCCAGTCTGGCAAATCACAATGCCCTTTTCTCAGATTTAGCATTGTGTATATCACCACTCCCCATCATAGGGTGGCTGAATCTCACTGCACAATGGAAGGAAAATGCTGTACCGTCTGACATGTATTTATTTTTTTAATAACCAGTTTATGACCTTTTTTTTTCTTTCCTGATTTTCACAGCACAACTCAGAAAGCTAGTTTGCTCTCCACAATTTGACTATAAAATATCCATAGCCATCCAGGCAAATCTTCCCAGAGAGAGTTTCCAGACACTGCTCGTTTATAATGCATATGACGAAAGAGAGACGCAGAATACAAATGGAGCAAATGTAGCCAGAGTATAAAATATTCAGTAACTAATAGAGTAGGGTGATGTTGAATATCTCTCAGCTGAGTGGGCTGCGGGTTCAGGGAGAGCTCTCTGGAGGCCGTTCACATTTCTTCTGATTTATTTGGCTGCTGGGTTTTCTGACTCTCTCATGCTTGGGCATGCACACAAAAATGCACACATTTCTTTCTTTCTTTCTTTCTTTCTTTCTTTCTTTCTTTCTTTCTGTTTTCCATGTTTTTCTTGTCATGTCTGAATTATAATTAGCTTCCTCTTGATTTCCATAGAGAACTTGAAATGTCCCCAAAACCAAAGATAGACCCTTTTCAGCCTCTTAGAACCCATACTGTGTTTTTGTAAATAATACAAGCCAGTTGTTTATTGAATCCAAGGAAATCAATAATAAACCTTAGCAAACTAACCTCTGAAGGGCATTTTGATTGCTGCTATTCCATATGACTTTGATTACAATAATTCTTTCTGATTATACCTGCCTGCTGAAATAGCCCTACTGCCCCTCTGGTTCAGGGCACAATTCAAAGGGTTGATTTTCTCATTTTGAGCCTGAAAAGGGTTTGAATGATGCCAAAACTGGCCTAATCATTAAGTAAAAAGAAGTGATGGCTGCTGGGTGAAGCAATAGGTTAATATTGGAAAACAGGGATAGCACAGGGCTACCTAACCTCACCATTTGCAATTGCTTTGTGCCCTCAAGAAAATAGACAATAGAATAATATTCAGTTCCATTAGCTTCCACATGACCACAGGAGAACAAGTTCTTTGTTTTTCTTCATGGCAGACAGTGGACAATCTGCAGTTGATCCTGACACACTCTCAGTACCTGTATACATTGTTTGATTCTTCAAGAACTGATAGTTTCTTAAGATAAATTATTGTGGTGTTGATTAGGAAAGTTTCTTAAGATAAATTATTGTGGTGTTGATTAGGAAAGGGATCTTTCTGCCATGACAACTCAGCAC